AAAGTTTCCCTATAAAAGCATGCCTAGGGTTTCGTGAAATAAGTGTGCAAGGTGGGTTTCTTTTTGCTGGCGGCTACAAAAGTGCTATTGAGGGGTGCAGAAGCTTTTCGTTGGCGGCTTCTTTGTGTGTGCGAGTTTTTTTTTTCTCGGTGGCTTTTGGAGAAAATCGCAAGCAGCAAAGAGGTGTGCAGGAGCTTGATTTTTCTGCGGCTGTGTGCAGGTGCGAAGACAGTTGTTTTTGGCCTGAGTTGTTTTCGGCAGAACTCTTTTTGGGGATTCGTACAGTGAAAAGAAAGCGCAGACAGAGGAGAGCTTTTTGAGAGAGCCTTTGTGTGAGGGATTTGAGAGTTTGTTTGAGGGTTTAGATTGAGTGATTGTAAACCCTAGTTGTATCTCTCCCTCTAATAGTAGATCTCCCCCTCCTTGCCCCGTGGACGTAGGCAGTTTGCCGAACCACGTAAAATTTTGTGTTCTTACCGTGATTTGTAATAGCTTGTAGGATCCCTCGACGCGCAGTCCTAGAGCTGACGAGAGGAAGAGCTGATATCTCACTTTGATGAGATATCTGGCTTTCAGATTCTTGTTCCCTTTGAGAAACAAGAATTCTTATCGATCTTTCTCTCTTATTGTGCACCTTGCGCACCGGAGGTGCTGCCGAAATTTCCAAACGAGAATTCCGTTGTGATCTAATCTCTTGTTGTGCCCCTTGCGCACCGGAGGTGCTGCCGAAATTTCCGCTGCGCACAACAAGTGGTATCAGAGCTCCGGGTCTTAGTAAAATTAGCTAACATTTCAATAGTCATTTGTTCTTTCTATTTTAACATAATGGCTTAGTATTTACTTTAACAAAGTCATTAAACTTGAGTGTTACGAATCTGAAAATTTTCATATTATGATCTTAAGTTCAACTTGCTAGTCTTTTCTTATTCCATTTGATTTAGAAGTCAACGTGTTAAATTGACCCGTGTGATATCACAACATTAGAGTGTAAAATGTCAAAAAAAATAATACTTTAAAAAATTGATTTAAAAATAGGCCATATAGTTAACCATTTAAACCAAAAGATAAGCAAGTGACATAAAAAATTATAGATTACACCAACCTGAACTACTAATACGAAAGAGTGAATAAAAAATTGGTTTTTTCAGCCTAAGAGTGACTTTGGAAGTGAGTAGGTTTAAAAGTAAATGGCGGTAAAACGTTGAGTTACAGGTAAACACCATTATTGAGTGAGTTTGAAAACACATGAAGGCAAAACTTAGGGTTTACAGACAGAAAACTTATATATAGTTTACAATGCCACATCATTAATGTAATAAAATAATAATGGTTTAGGCATATTTTCACAACATCTTATGCATAACCATTTAGAAAAAAATATAACAATTTATAGAACATAGTGAGTTACAATGTACCAAATTGCTGAAATACATGACGAGTTTAAAAGTAATTCATATACTTTTATGGACCAAGAGTGAATTTGAAGTGGGTGGGTTTTAAAAACAAATTAGGATAAAACTTTAGATTTATTATTTAAAATATTATTATGAAGTGGGAGAGTTTAAAGCTAAATAGGGTAAAACTTTAGGTGGATTATTTTAACCCCAAAAGGACGGTTAATCAAAGGCATGTTCAAGAATAAAATTATAATGCTCAACTCTCAGCCTAATTTCGTTATTTTGGTGCTGTAATAAGGACTTTTAATATAATTATCCTTACCATAACTTTAGAATATGGGTGTAATGGCAAAAATTTTGATATTCCCCTTAGCTACAAATTTAAGTGATTTAAAAAATTTTATGTCATTGCATGACTCTAGATATCAATCTATGAAAATGTGTCCAATCTATAACAATATGTTTGAATATAAAATTATAATCATCAATTCTGGTCATAACTCCAAAAATTAAAGCATTGTGACACTACGTTTATCATGTCTACATATCCTCTCAGAACGCCTAGCACCGTGTAGAACGTTCTGAGCTGCTCATTTTTATTGAGGAGTGCTTTGACCTGCAGTTTGAAGTCCTGTGAACCCATTGGTATGAGCGAGAAGACCGAGGTGGAGTTTGGCACTTCTATCCATCATTCAAGGGGTCTTCTGAGGGGTGTTCATTCAGGCATTCGGGGACCTTCTAAGGGAGCATTATTGGGAGGTAATAGGTTTTTTGGTTTCCGCAGTTGGGGATTGCTCTAGGCATTGGTGGGTTGCAACCAAGTCCCGTTGGTGTGAAGTCCTAGAAGCCCGCAACAAATGGAGGAAGTGTATTGGCAGAAAGGTGAAGGTACTTCAGTCTGATGTTAGAGGGAGGTACAAGAGGGACCTATATCTGCATTTGTGCCGAGCTCACGGCAATAGGAGACACTTCATTGGTGTGGAAACTTTGAGGTGACGTGATGAGATGGCAGATTTGGGGAGCTGTTCCTTTCTGGAGGAGGATCGGCGTTTGATGTCGAGCATTGGCATTGGTGTGTGGGCTACGACATGTTTGGGCCGTCTTATGTATAGGTTGCCGACTGCTGCATGTAGAGATTTTGGATCTGGTGGAGCTGCTTCAGATTTTGGGTTGCGTCGGATGATTGGCTACCCAGCATTTGGTCACATCGTGGATGTGAGATTCGATCTGATAGCACGTTTGGGATTCGGAGGCTCATTTGATTATCATTTGGGAGCTTCTAACTTTGTTCTGAGCAGGTATGTCACAATTAACTCTCGGCAGGTGGAGAGTGGTGATCAGATCTTTGGGACATCGCAGCGGGTGGAGAGTGATGCTACTCCACGTTGGGTGGAGACTCCAGATCATGCTGCATTATTTGGGATTCCAGCTGATGTGACACAGATTGGGAATCATGTTGTTTTGGATGCAGATGATAGGTTGATTGATTCGAGTACAGCTGATAGATGTAGTCTGGATATGGCCATTGGTTCATCTCAGGTGGAGATGTTTGGATTATTTCAGTTTGGGGCCATTGGAAGTGCTATCAGCCGCAGACTTGAACGTGATGTTGGAGAAGGGTTGCAAACTCTTCTATTGGATTGAGGTCGTTAGCGGCCATTTGGGTGAACTACGTTCGGCTTGATTCCTTGGGCAAGAGGATACGTAGGCAGTCTTTACGATGCAGCCGGGTTTGGATTAGTTGATTGGGGTGAGATCGATTTGGTGAGCGACATCGATATTTGGGGTGAGTGTTTGCACTCCCATTTGGGTCTTAGCAAGTGAGACATTTGGTGTAGTCGGTGTAGGCTCAGTTTGATTTGGTGAGTAGACACTATTTGGTTTGGGTTGAGTGTTCCTCGACCTGTTGTGGATGGAGTCCGTTGTCATGAGTCCGTTGCCATGACGTACTGGATACAACAAGTGAGACATTTGTTTTGGTTGGTGTCGGCTCAGTTTTTGGTAGAAACTTCGCCGAGGTGGAGAATTGTGAATGCGTTTTTGCTTTTGCATGTGGGGGCCACAAGAACTTTTGTTGTGAGAGGCTAAGAGAGGAAACCACGTGAAGGTTTCATCAGCTCTCGTAGGGGACCACGCGTTGATCCAGAGGGTAAAGAAGGCCCACCCGAAAGTTTCCCTATAAAAGCATGCCTAGGGTTTCGTGAAATAAGTGTGCAAGGTGGGTTTCTTTTTGCTGGCGGCTACAAAAGTGCTATTGAGGGGTGCAGAAGCTTTTCGTTGGCGGCTTCTTTGTGTGTGCGAGTTTTTTTTTTCTCGGTGGCTTTTGGAGAAAATCGCAAGCAGCAAAGAGGTGTGCAGGAGCTTGATTTTTCTGCGGCTGTGTGCAGGTGCGAAGACAGTTATTTTTGGCCTGAGTTGTTTTCGGCAGAACTCCTTTTTTGGGATTCGTACAGTGAAAAGAAAGCGCAGACAGAGGAGAGCTTTTTGAGAGAGCCTTTGTGTGAGGGATTTGAGAGTTTGTTTGAGGGTTTAGATTGAGTGATTGTAAACCCTAGTTGTATCTCTCCCTCTAATAGTAGATCTTCCCCTCCTTGCCCCGTGGACGTAGGCTATTTGCCGAACCACGTAAAAGTTGTGTTCTTGTCGTGATTTGTAATAGCTTGTAGGATCCCTCGACGCGCAGTCCTAGAGCTGACGAGAGGAAGAGCTGATATCTCACTTTGATGAGATATCTGGCTTTTGGTTCTTGTTTCCTTTAAGAAGCGAGAATTCCGTTGTGATCTAATCTCTTGTTGTGCACCTTGCGCACCGGAGGTGCTGCCGAAATTTCCGCTGCGCACAACAACATAATCATTCTTCCCGAGTGCTTCTCCAAAGTCTCGTCCGATTATAATTTTTAAATCCCATAATGAATTCAATTAACATTATCTCAAGATCATTTAAACTGAAAGATGCTCGAGAGTGGGAGTATCTCGTGCTCTTTTAGTCTATCTCGTGATTAAAGAGAGAATCTTTATTATTTCTTCTCAAAACAAATAGCCTTTATCATTTACTCAATTTTAGTGACTATCAATTGAATTATTAGTCCCTCCCTCAAGCCGATTAATTTCATTCACAGGAATTTGTAGGAAGATAATGCAAGGAACTTGTGAATGCTTTTTTTTTCCCTGGTTGGTGAGAACCTAATTAACCTTTTTTTTCATAATTGACAATACGTCATTATTTCTCCAAAACTTTCCAGACCACAGACAGTCATTTGTCCAGCTAAATTCCAACCAAAGTAACTCAAAATTGGCATATTGGGTAATCCTTGTATTTTCCTGAGCTAAATACAGTTTGGTTCATCTTCTGTAGTCAAAATGAAACTTGTAGCAAAAACACAGGAACACAGACAGCACAAATATTGAAGAAAGTATATAGCAGGGTACTGGAAATTGACTTGTAATTGTTATGGCCAACCTTATGACTTGAACATCACCAAACAACAAATAAATCAAATACACCGATAACTAAATAAAACAAGGGCGTACAGAAAACCAATCACTTAACAGACAGATCGAACCAATAAATTATTCCAAACACGCGAGCGTTTCTTCTTTTACATCAAGGCTTAATCTTAGAACTATCATATTGGATGTTGCATCCAGCAGCAGCAGACCCAGCAGATGCACCGACAGTGTTCCAACACTCAGCTCTTATAGTCTTTATGGCTTTGTGGAGGCAAGAAGTACATGCAGCTTCAGAAGATGTCAATGAGGAGAAACAATGTGCAGTCCCATACACTCTCGGGTTTGTTCTATTAGCTCGGTGGTAGAAATTACCGTTCACTGGCGTAATGGTCTTGAGCTCAGTCAGAAGGCTCTCAACGTTCTGGCCATAAGCATCACAATGCTTGAATGTTTTTGAGGTGCAGTCAAAATCGAAAGACATGTCTGTGGAAGCACAGAAAGTTCCTAATGTTGCCACAATCAAACATACAACTATTGCTTTTGCTAAGGTTGCCATTAGCCTCTCTTTCTTTGTCTCCGATCACTCTTGATGTTATGGGACCCTGGATAGAGGAGACTGATGGTCTGCTATAAATAGAATTCGTTGGTGTGAATAACGCAGTCAAAGAGTTCCATTTGTATGGAACTGCATTGTTTTTTCCCCTTTTTTCTTTTGAATCGGCCCGTTTTCTTATCTGTAAATTATGGGAATAGGAAAATAGAACAAGTCTATGGCTGCATCCCTTGGATTTCAAGTTGATTGGCCGGCTACAAGTGTACATTTCTTTATGATAGAAAACCCGTTTGCATAGTAACTTTATTGGTGGAAGAGTTTTAGTGTGCACTAAACCTGACAGTTCCCAATTTATTCTGCAAGTTACTGCACAAGAGAAGACCACCTGTAATTCAATCGATGAACAAAGTGGGTAGTATAAGTTCACAAATGTCCTCTTTAAAATACGAACCTGTAATTACCTTATCAGATGAATCAATAAGGGCCCTGACAGTTATTTTCTTGGTATATGTAGAAAGTAATTTAGTTTGAAGTGGAGCAGACACAGCATCTTCTGCAGGTTGTACACGCACTGTATCTATTTTAAAATTTTCACTTTGCTTTGAGAGACCCTATGTTCTTTTTTAGTATCCTTGGAAAAACACAGCTTGAAGGAAAATTCTACTTTGCATAATTGTCATGTTTGCTAATTGACCAAGTCAGATTCTCTCTAGTGAACGACACCATTTAACTTTGGTGATATTATTGATGGCCTTGCATTTGATAAAGTAAAATATATCATATATCATCAAAGTGGTTGCCTGTAATACATTTGGCACTTTGCATTTGTTTTCCCTTTTGTTTAGCGGTCGAATGGATCCAGTCAATGTATATAGGAAGACGGAACGATTTCGACTCTCCACTCTCTTTAACTTCTGTATTAAAATTAATATTTTGTCTGGTTTAATTGATGAGGGTCTTTTCTGCTAGTCATTTGCATTTGTTTTTGCTATGGTTTTGGTCTCCTCTCTTTTTACCTCCTATAACAGTACGCATGGACTCGAGAGAGAAGAAGCTGTATCAAAGGCCAAATACATAATTCAGGTTAATGCTAGGAACCAGAAGCATAGCAGTATTATAGTAATCTCTTACTATCAATTCAAAACCTTCTTTATGGCTAGCTGTGTTCTGCGGATCCGTGTCGTGACAAAATTGAACTTTCTATAAGGAGGCCTTTAGATTATGCTTGACATATGGGACTGTAAAGTTTTCACCTCCTAAGAATCTGATTCTTTAGGATGTTCATGCCAATGCATTTGCCTGGATGTTCACTAACTTATAGAGCTGACCGTCTCGTAGTTGTGGAAGTTGTAAATTTAGCAGCCAAAGTCAATTTGGATTTTATCTGGCGTAAGTAAGTGTAGTTTAATTGCACTAGTCCAGTAAAAAAAAAGTAGAACAGGATATAAGCTCATCATATAAACTTACGATCTCATAATCACTTTGCCCAAATAGTTCTCGATCAGTACCCAATGTCTAGTCCAGTTTCAACAAAATTTTAGTGCCACATCGGTTAGTGCGAAAGAATTATGTTGGATTTATAATCCAAGTCCTTCTAGCCAATTTTACATCAAAATAATGTCAGATGTCAACTGGCCATAATGGTGTTGGTTTTCTTTGCATTCGGCTTATCCCTCTTGTTCACTGATAAGTAGTAATATTTTGTAGTGATGCTCATATATCATTAGGTTTTAAGATCAGCAGAAGCATTTGATTGAGGGATATGTGTGTTTGTGTGTATGCTTAAGGATCTCAATCGAATTTTATGTCAAATAAGGAGTAAATTATGTACAAAGTTGATGATTGTTCTTTGAGCCTAAAGGTGTCATTTACTTGGCATTAGCTTTAAATAGTTTGTTAATAATAGAGGATTGATATTTTGCTATAAAACTTTGATGTGGATATGTTGCTGATTCTTTCTGGAGAAGAATGATGTACCAAATCTTGCCTAAAATTAGTAGATGGTCTACTTTTTTCCTTTTTATTTTATCTGTTTTTTTCCCCTGGAGTTCTCCCAATAGATTGCCTACCATATATACATGATGAGCTAGAACTTCAACAAAACTACTTATGACTTCAAATTCTTTTTTCCCCCTTTTTTGTTCATTATGAACGGACCTCCTTAGTATCACGGTATCACCCAATTTCAAATAGACTCCCTGTAGTGCTATATGCTATGAATAGACTCCCTGAGTGAATTCTTTTATTGCTGAAATTATTAAGAAGGTTTGAGAAAGCAGATAGGACCCTATAATCTATTAGGGATGATGGACTACCATACGCTTTTTTTTTATTTTTAATAGAATCAATAAAGTTCAGTAATGGGTGTATTCACACTTTGGCCAATACTACAGAGGGTCTATTTGCAACTTGGCGATAATATAAGGGTTTGTTCGCAATTAACCCCTTCTTTTAGCCTCAAGTATTTGTAATAGAAGTTGGCGTTTGAATTATGTCTATTTTTAAAAGAACAGAATTAAGTTATGAAAACCCTCAGAGTATTATGAAACAAGTAAATGATGTGGATGTCCATTTAGTTTTCTAAAGAGATTGATACATGTATTACCCATTGATATTCTCTATGAGTAATTAATATGATTCATGTATCATCATCTTAGTTTGTATATAAATAGAGGTATTCATACCTCACTTTGTAAGGAGAAATTGAGGAAATAAAATTCTTTCTACTTCTTGTCTACTTTCTCTACTCTACTTTATTAGTTTTACAACACGTTATCAGCACGAGACTCTACCATTGAAACAATCCATTTCATGTCCATTAGATTTATCGTTTGGCACGTGTTCATATTTTGGATAAACCTTTAAGATAAAATTTCTCTTTCCAATTCAATTCATTTTTTACTATGACTAACATTACAAAACAAGAATTTATGCCTCTTGATATTTCTGGAAAGAACTACTTATCTTGGATGTTAGATGTTGAAATACATCTTGCTGTAATGGGTCTTGAAAATACTATTGTGGAAGAAAATGAGACATCAAATCAAGGCCGCGCCAAAGCTATGATTTTCCTTCGCCGTCATTTGGATGAAGGATTAAAAACTGAATATCTAACTGTGAAAGATCCACTTACTATGTGGAATAATTTGGAAGGAGAGATTTGACCATCTGAAGTTGGTCGTGCTCCCAAAAGCCCGGTATGATTGACTTCACTTAAGGCTACAAGATTTTAAATCAATCAGTGAGTATAATTCTGTAATGGATAAAATTATCTCTCAATTGCAATTGTGTGGAGAAATTGTCACTGATGACGATATGTTAGAAAAAACATTCTCCACCTTTCATGTCTCGAATATGCTTCTGCAACAGCAATATCGAGAGAGGATTTAAGAAATACTCTGAATTGATTTCATGCCTCCTTTTGGCTGAACAAAATAATGAATTGTTATTGAAAAATCATGAATCACGACCTACTGGTGCTAGCCCATTCCCTGAAGCGAATGCAACTCAATCTCAAAATCATGGTCGTGGGTGTGGACATGGCTGTGGAAGAGGCCGAATGCGTAGCCGTTGTCGTGGACAAGGTCGTGGCAAATATGTGCCTTATAATCACAATGATCATAACCGTGGCAAAAGACAAAACAACTCCCAGAAGTGGGACAATAATGATAAGAAAAGTGAAGAAAAGAAACATTATGAGGAAATATGCTACCGGTGTGGAATAGAAGGTCATTGGTCCCGTACCTATCGTATGGCAAAACATCTTGTTGACCTCTATCAGGCATCATTAAAAGGGAACGGCAAAAATACCGAGACAAATTTCATTGATCAAAACAATGTTTATGATGATCTTGATGATATCACACACCTCGATGTAGCTGATTTCCTTGAGCAACCTGAAGTTGCAAAATGATCTCATGACAAATACCCAACATTTTGAATTTTGTTATTTTCACATCTTTTATTTTGTAATTTATGGACTTTATTGATATTTACTTTTGTTTGTAATTTTCTTTGTCATTTCTTCCTGAAGAAGAATGGATGTCAAATATTTGGGATCAAACAATGGTGATGATGATATTTGTCTCATTGATAGTGCTACTACACACACTATACTTAGAAACATGAAGTATTTTCTCATTTAAAAATGGAAGAAACAAATGTTAACACAATAAGTGGTAGTGCTAAATTGATCAATGACTCCGGAAGAGCCATTGTATTTCTCCCCGAATGAACTAAAATTGTCATAAATAATGCACTACTCTCGATAAAGTCTCGAAGAAATTTTCTAAGTTTTAAAGATATTTGCCGAAATGAATATCATATTGAGATAATGTATGAGACAAATGGTGAATACTTATTGGTTACAAATACCATTTCTGAAAAAGAAATATGTATTAGAAAAGTTGTCTTCTCTATCTTCTGGTTTATATTATACAAAAATAAGTGCAGCTGAAATTTATCACCTTATAGACCAGAAGTCTACTAATCCCAATGATTTTATGATTTGGCATGATCGCCTTGGACATCCTGGTTCTATAATGATGAGGCGGATAATTGCAAATTCACATGGCCATTCATTAAAAAATCAAAAAAATACTAAATTCTAATGAATTCTCATGTGTTGCTTGCTCCCAAGGAAAGTTATTTGTTAGACCATCACCAACGAAAGTGGGAACTGAATCACCTGCATTTCTAGAACGAATTCATGGTGATATATGTGGGCCTGTAGATCCACCATGTGGACCATTTAGATATTTTATGGTGCTAATTGATACATCAACAAGATGGTTATATGTATGTTTATTATCTAGTCGCAACCTGGCGTTTGCGAGATTGCTTGCTCAGATAATTAAATTGCGAGCACACTTTCCTGATTATCCTATTAAGAAAATTCGCTTAGATAATACCGGTGAATATTCATCACATGCTTTTGATGATTATTGCATATCTATTGGAATAAGTGTTGAACATCTTGTAGCTCATGTTCATACACAAAATGGTCTAGCTGAATTATTTATTAAACGGCTTCAATTAATTGTAAGACCATTGTTAATGAGGTCTAAACTTCCTCCATCTGCTTGGGGACATGCTATATTACATGCAACAACATTTGTGAGATTAGGCCGACAAGTTATCATACTTATTCTCCCTTACAATTAGTTCTTGGCCACGAGCCCAATATTTCTTATTTAAGAATCTTATTCTCCCTTACAATTAGTTCTTGGCCACGAGCCCAATATTTCTTATTTAAGAATTTTTGGTTGTGCGGTATATGTTCCTATTGCACCATATTTCTTATTTAAGAATTTTTGGTTGTGCGGTATATGTTCCTATTGCACCGCCTCAACGTACTAAAATAGGCCCTCAAAGAAGATTGGGGATATATGTCGGGTATTGTAGGCATATAAAATTGCTTATAGGTCCCCTAGCATAGCTCGGCACAAACCGACGAGCCAACGAAGAAGCCACAACGAGTCGCACGATATCGGGACTCGCACGAAGCGACAGGAATGAATCAGACCCCGCGCCGGTGCAGAATCAAGCTAATGCACGCTTGCAGACGATCAACGAGCCAGTCCAACCAAGGGAAAACCTCGGGAACGAAATCCCCGACGATCGGAATCAGATCAATTTCGGGACATATCGAACTCAGAAGCGATTTCTGCCAAACGAAGGAATCAAATGTCATGCCCAAATAACAGCATCATCCAAATCCAGAATAGTCTCAGATCAACGAAACGACGGACAAACGACGACATCGGAAACACCGCCCGCGGAGGGCTCGCGGCCCAAAGCCGAGCCACCTCAAGGCGCTCAGGCCTTGAGGCGAGCCACCTTGAGGCTGAGCTTCGGCCGTCGGCGAGCACTCAGGTGGCGTGGCCAAGGCCGAGCCACCTGAGGTGGCTCGGGTGCAGCGAGGCGCACCTGCGTTGCGTCGGCGCAAGGCCGAGCCACCCAAGGTGGGTCGGCAATGGCCGAGCCACCTTGGGCCGTGGCTCGGCTCGCGCCGAGCCACTCGGGTGCTCGCGCCCAATGCCGCAGCCACCCAAGGGCTCGGCCAAGGCCGAGCCACCCCAAGCTGGCTAGGCACAGTGTCGGCCACCCCGAGCGTGCGCCGACAATGACGCCCGAGGTGGCCGACGTGGCCAGAGTGTGGCCAGACGACTCTCTTATTTGCCAAGCCACATGTCTGAGAGCCTATAAATAGGCCTAGAGATGTTCATTTCAGTGGTCGAACTTTCAAGAGAGGCGAAAAACGGTAGTCTGACCCGTGATTGGAAGATAACTGTCGGACTTGAAGACCAGGAAGGACTTGCACATTCAAGATCTGATACCTCGGCGACCATTCGCACGTCAGAAGAAAGGCAGGGATCTCGAGAAGAAGTAAAGAACCACGATCTGAGATCTACGACCGAGGTACACTCCAGACTCTAAGCTTGGATCTTAGAATCTCGAGATGGCTGAGCGCACAATATCCTTAGAGTGATATAATCCCTCCCGGGCTATTATTCCCTTCATGGATATAACCGCATACTCGTGAATTAAGATCGCAGACCGGATCTTAGACGCATGCACGGTGATACCACGCGATTATACCCCGCGAACGCAGAAGCAAAGAAACCCACCAAGCGAGGCGACGCACAAACAGCGAAGCTCTGTGATTTTTCACCAAAGAAGAGTGTAATTTTTCTTTATTTCTTTGATTAGTTGTACACCGGATCTATAAAAGACCGGATCTTTTGCTAACTCAAAAAAGTTGTAACTCAGATGACAATTATCTCATTAATGAAGAAAGGCTACGCGTTTTTCACGCGAACAATCTGCGCGACCACAGTGGGAGCGACGCATCTCCACGCCAACGAGATGCGATGGTCGCAGCCGCGCGATTGCCCCAATCACGGTCCGTGCGCAGGCAGGTCCGAGTACGAGTTCGACCAAGCCAATCGCAGGAGTACGTGTCCTCCGTTCCGGCTCTATTCTCCCCCGCAAGTCCAGAAGTTCTCCTCCGGGGAGCAAAAGCCCTCGTTGGTTTGAAGCCTGCCTCGGACAGCCTTACGAAGCTCTCAGCCCAATCACCCTGACGCCGAAGTTGCCGTCAAATGAAGTTCCACCGACTCCAATCAGTCAACCCAACTCCCGCAACGCCTCTACGTCAGGGCGTGGGGTGACTCTCTCAACAAGAGAAGCCCGCAGAGGCGTCGTCAACGCCTCGCGCCGGCAATTCGCTAAGGCCGATGGAATCTCACGGCACGGATCGCTACCACGCGGAGGTTGGAGAACAAGAAGAGGCACAAAGACAGCCTCAAACTACCAATGCAATTGGCGAAGTCTTACCAGAAGCCGCCCGAAGAAAGAATGGGAATCCGCGTCAAACGCGAACGTCCGTGTCGACGCTCGAGGACGCGATCGCAAAGCGCCGCGCAGATGTCAGCGCAGGCACCTAGCGCGCTCAACTCGGAAGCCCGAGAAAGTGCAAACAGTGAGGTGGAGAAAGAAGCCCAACACCAACACGACAATCTGGAAAGCCTAAGTCTGAAGTGGCGACTGCAGACCAAAAAAGCCAACCGATGTCAGCCTTCTAAGGAAGGTCAAACTCAGGCGCAGTCAACCAAGTCGCCATGTCCAAATCCCATAACTTCTCCGGAAGATACATCGCAGAGTCACCGCCAAGAAGAAACTCAATTATGGAGCCGCCTCGGGTCCATTCCTGACGAGAGAGCAGCCAAAGCTCCAGATTCAGCACGACGCGTTTGGCCGGCTGAAGACGCCCAGAACCATCAACATAAACTGGGGGTCCCATACACCTCCATGCATTGTGACAAAGACCTCAGGCAAGCTGCGCGCACCAATATGTGCCGCATTGAAAAGGTTCAGACTCACGCCGAAAATTCACGCCCCAAAAGGCGCAGGGTTGAGGAGCGGGTAACCTTGACAAGCAGGCCCAAAGAGGGCAAGTCAACCTCAGATGAAACATAATCATCTGATATGAGTTGTGCGCTGGTACCTGAGAGGCGGCTGCCTCGCAATCACGCATAGGTACTCTGCTGTCAAAATGACGGAATTTGTATCTATGTCATGGGGTACGAATAGAACCAGAAGAGCGAGTCCCCGAGACGGAAATTACAATGCATCCCTGTTCCAAACTCATTTGGCGGACGGTATTGTCGGAATGCATGCCATTAAGGCGGGTCCGAAAAGAGTAATTCAAGTTTTTGACAAGACTGCAAATAGCGGGAAACCGCCAAAACCAAGGCCTAGCGCCGCTCCAACGATAGAAGAAGGGTGACGATTGAAGACATGGAGAATTTCGAAGGGTCACCACCACATGGACGAGCAAAGGCACATCGGCCACGGCAGAGAGTTTACGAGTTCGAATGCTGATAAGACACTTCACCGACCTAGAAACCCAGTCGGCAGTCCGGAACACCAGTAGACGCCGAGCAATGTAGCGGATAGGATTCGGACAACGCCTTCGGAAGATGAAGAATCTGATGCCGGCTCCCGGCGGTTTGGCATCAGATAATACAGTATCCAGCGGAGGACAACCCCGCGAGGCCCTGATGATAAGTGCGGCAGCAGTTATTGCCCCAAGATCTTGAAGACGCTTTGGCTAAGCCCAGAAAGAAAGTTTCAAGTTTGGAGAATTGGATATGGCCAGCAGTAGATGAGAGAAAATGCAGAATAGACCAACAGGATACCATAGCATTGGCCCGAGACAACAAGCCGAGCCGAAATCATCAAGACCGATTAATGTGGAAGACTGAGGTAAGCAAAATGCTCGTAACACCAATGATACCTCGTCTAACGCAACTCCGGGTGGGGGTAATGAGAGATAGCCTGGCGTAGAGAAAACCAGAGGAAAACCTGAAAATCAAGAACTCTGAGCAGCAAAATCACACACACATAATT